GAGGGCCGGGAGAGCGGCGGTGGCGGCCGGCAGGTACCGGGTTCGGTTTCTGGAGAGCAGCCACGTCAGTCCCATGAGCTGGCAGTCGTTGACACGTGGCGCTACGTTTTTCTCCTCCTCCGGAGTTACATTCATGGCGGCGCCTTTTAACTTCCAAACAACAAAAAAATAAAACATGAAATTCTATTTAATTTGATATAAATATATATATATATATATATATATATTTATATCAAATTAAATAGAATTTCATGTTTTATTTTTTTGTTGTTTGGAAGTTAAAAGGCGCCGCCATGAATGTAACTCCGGAGGAGGAGAAAAACGTAGCGCCACGTGTCAACGACTGCCAGCTCATGGGACTGACGTGGCTGCTCTCCAGAAACCGAACCCGGTACCTGCCGGCCGCCACCGCCGTTCTCCGGGCCTTCATGGAGGCGGAAGGCGGGGAAGTGGGACCCAACTGTCCCCCAACCCATGACGAGATGCCCATCGCCGTCGGATCCTCCGAGATCGACGGCGATGGTTTCACGAACTCATCGACGGCCAGCGAACTGCCGCCGCCCACGCTGCTTCTGCTGCTGATGCTCCGATCTCTGGCGTCCGTAGTGTTTTATTTTTGTATTTTCGGATTTTAGATTTGTAATGTAGGAAAGTTGCTTTGGTGGGTGGGGGGCGCATTTTGTAATTTTGTGGATCTAACTGGCCCTGACTTATGCGCTTCACGTGATTTACAGCTTTTGTTTTAAAGGTTAATGCGGGGCCCACATAATAGTTTCCTATGCGGGCCCCGCTTTTTTTCTGGAAAACGGTGAAAGTTATTGCCCGCATCTCTATCCCATAAAACTACTGAATTTGAGTGCATTTATTTATTTATTTATTTATATTAATTATATTACTATTTGACGGCATTTACATACATACCACCCGATTTTTATGTATTTACACATCTTTAACTTCAATTTTATTTAGAGGTGTAAATAGATTAGGAGTGTAAATTAGCAGAACACCTCGTGTTTGATTTGTTAAAAACTATCACTCTTAGTGTTTGGCTCCTCTATATTTTAAACACAAAAAATATATTCGTGTTCCGCTCATTTGCTTAGTGAGCCGAACACAAGCTAATCACAAACAAAGAATCATTCCGTAGGATGTTAAGAGTTAGTGTGTGTGTGTGTGTGTGCGCGCGCGCGTGTGCCGCGTACTCAGGTCAATTGGTCGGGCATCCGCTTGCCAGTTGAAGTCCCCTCTATTCGATTATCCCCGAGTGTAGGGTGCGGTACTCGAATTAGCATGATGGATGGTCGGAATTGAAACGACTCGTTCTTCATGAGTAGCTCGTGTTCGACTCATCCGCTAAGTTAATGAGCCGAACACGAACAAAGATTTGTTCTTTCATGTTCAACTCGTTTTGGCTCGAAATACTACTAATCAATTATATATATATATATATTGATGAGTGATATTTTGAGCCAAAATGAGCCGAGACATAACGAAAAAAATTGTGTTTGTTCAGCTCGTTTGTATATAAAACACAAAAAAAGCTTCGTGTTCGGCTTGTTAACTTAGCAAATAAATCAAACACGAGTTTCTTAACTAGCTGTTCGTGACCAATGAGCCGTTTTGACAGCCTTAATGGAGATTGCTAATTTTTGAAGGCTAATTGGTTTCATGACTGACAGTTATAGTTGTTGTTATGACATGAGTATCAATTCATATCCCCATTTATTTGCGATGCAAAGTTGAATTCAAGAGTTATCATGTAAGTTAAGAGATGCCTCCATATTGAACGATCTAATGCTAATTTCAAGAACAAAATAAAATGAAAAGCTCCTCCTCATTGTAGATAGAACTTTAAATGAATTTCAAATTAGACATTCTTATTTATGTTATAGTTAGGAAAGTTGCATGCATGTTAAAATATATTGAAAAATGAATGAAAAATAGATCTTCGGATGTATTTACACTCCAATTTGGTTTTAATTTTTCTACTTAATGGTGGTAGGTTCAATGGAGGTTTGGTTACCTATATTATATGCATAAAACATCCTAAAAAATTCATAAGAACATTCTTTAAATAAATGTTTCATAAAAAAGAATGATGATCAAATTGATTATTTTAAAATTCTCCAATTAATTCATGTCTAAAAATTCCATCATTTGAAACTCATGCTCAAACAAATTGGGAGGTTTAGTGATGTGTTATAATTGTCTTATGTCCATGGTTTGAATCTATAATAGATTATGGGTTTTGTTCCATGCCATGGTTGGTGGCTTTGACTTATGGGTTTGTGCAGCAAAGGCTTGTACGTTTAATCACCAGCTCACTTGGTGATTTTTTTCCCTTTCTAGATTTTCCACATAAAAACTTCCGGCGTCTCTGTCACTTTTGCTATCTAAGTGTTTGTTGAATTTTTATGCAATGCTAAGATGATAGATCATTACTCTTATCATCATGAGTCTTCTATTACACATCAAGAGTATTTCATTTTATAAATGTCAAAATGATGATATTTTTGATGTGATATCAAAGATTTGGGTAGTATAAATTAAAAAAAGGTAAAGTTTAGATATTGGATATGTAAAAATACATAGAAATTGGATGGTATATATGTAAATGCCCCTTTTAAAAAGCTTGGACTTCCTTCATCTCAATTTCCATCTTCTCCCTATTTTTCTGTATCATGTTTTGCCATCTTCCTACTTCATTTTTTCTTTTTGGAACAATACAACCAGCTCAAATTAACCGGAGTTCTAAAACGATCCTTTTACCTAATGGAGGAAGACATTTCCCTGCTACTCTTCGCCATCTTCCTCTTGAATCTAATAGGCCTTGAACAAGTATACATGGAAGATGAACACTTGAGGATGCTAACCGCAGCATCCCCATTATATTCTTGTTGAATCCAGATTTGTTATCGGATCACACCTCAAGAAATTAGTGTTAGAAAGGAAAGAGCAAAAGAGGAAGGGAGAGGGGGTATAGAGGAGTGTGTTGCGACTTGCCCCTCTAGAGCAAATTGGGATATTCTCCGACTCTTGTGACATATTTTATGTAATTAAATATTTTTGAAGCACGGGTAAAGAAAGTGAGCCAAAAGTCCCTCTTACATGAAAATACCCCCATATTTATAGTAGAGGGAATGCAATAAGAAAAAAAATTACATCTTTAAATATGCTTTAGTGAGAGTTGTGCATGTTATTCTAGAAATTATACCCCTATGGGCCCAAGGCCTCGCTATCGTTCAACTCGATCAATGGAGCCAACGAGGTGAAGCGACCAGTGCTGCGGTTCGATCGAATGAATTGGGTACATCGGTCAGTTAATCTTTTAGGCAGGGAGGACCGCTAGATTTCTAAAGATAGTCGGCAAAACTAATCTGATCGGTTGATATTAGACAGTTGTATGCATTGGTCTGGTCGTCAATCCTCAATTCCCGTCGGGGAAATTCTTGCTGGCTAAGTAAAGCTTAAGCCATCAGACATTGGGTGTCATTTGGACGTGTATTGATGAGTCGGTGCAGATGATCTCTAGCTAACATAAGCAGGTTGGTCTTCCGGGCTGCCGTAGAATTACTCTTAGATTTGTGACCACACATTTTTGCTACAAAGTTCTCCTGGACTTGAGCCGATGTAGCTCGCGCATTTAGGAAAGAAAGTATTTGCAGTGAGATGGAAGAGTATAAATTAATTAACAAGGCGGAATTCGATGTTCTGAATACTAAATGTGATAAAAATAAACTAATAAGCCAAAACATTTACTTCTTACCTACTCCTTCATATCGAAACTTCCTGTTGTTTATTCATGGCTCTTAATTATGACATAAAATGGCACACTTGTAATTTTTTCTTTGCCTCTTGGAAGCCTCATCCATCTATAAATAGATGAGGGGTCTTAAGGGATGGAGAGACCACCATAAGGAGAGAAAAAAATCTGATCAAGAAGATCAAGAGGAGGAAGAAAATTCAGCAAGAAGAGGAAGAAGTGGAGAGGCTTTAGAATTGAGGGAGAGGTCTTGTAGAGAGAGAGATCTTGGTGATTCCTCGATGTAATGAGCTTGTAATTCTTCCTTTTGTGCTAGTGAATTTGGTAGCGATTCCCTCCGTGGATGTAGGTCTAAGGACCGAACCACGTAAATCCTCGTGTTTGTGTTCTTATTCGTTGTGGCATTTCTTTCCTCTGTTTTTTCTGGTTTTTCCTTTTGTACATGCTTGCTGCGTTTTTCAGTTCTTGGAACAAGAACTTTTATATCAGCTCAGGTTCTTGGATTCAGGGAGATTGCTTGGTCAGCTACTGTTATCATCTCCCTCGTCATCCAAGAAACGCAGCAGCAAGCAGGTCCTTCGGCAATCCCAATCCTTAGCTTGCAGGTGGATTTCCCGACAGAGAAGAGGATAAGGCACTGCAGCAAATTTCTTGGCATTCCCAACCGTAGCCTTTAAAGAAGTTTCAAGAA